GGGCACCGGCCGGCCGGAGCCCCACGGACATGGGACAGGCAGCTAGTACCTTGCCTCCGCCGGAGATCCTGGCGAACCTGGGTCCGGGCCCTGGCCAAGTCCGTGCCGCCGCCCAGGGTGATCTCCGCTCTGTCCATGAGGCTGAGCTTCTCCACCTCCGCCTGTCGACACAGGCCAGCAGGGGAGGACCTCATCTGGAAGGCACAGACCGTGCCTCCCTGCTCGACCACACTGGCACACGAGACCGATTGGGGTCGGGAGCTGCAGGTTGTTGTTGGTGACGCCGGGACAAGGGGACGCGGCCAGGCACGGGGCCCAGAGCCTGAGTGCAGGAGCCAGACCCGGACGGAGGCGGCCCTCCCGCCGCTCCACCTCGCCCTGGGCCGCGGTCGGTGCAGGACCCTCCTGTGCTTGCCAGTGTGCGCCCCTGGGTCGGAGGCCTAGGCAGGAGCCGCACCGAGCCTTTCTTGCTTGCTGAACCTTGCAGGCGATTGGCCAGCATCGGAGCTGGGCCCTACCCTGATTTAGGGCAGGAACTGGGAATGGACCTGGGCCCTGTCTGGTGCCCATTTCACCCAGGATTTGCCCAGCCCTTGGAGGGTGCCTCTGCCAGGCGTTTGACTTGGGACGGTTCTCACTGACCTCCATCCCTGGGGAGGGACCCAAGGCTGGCTGTCCCTGCAGGCAGCGGGTAACCTCCGCTCCCCTCCCCAGGGCGCCTGGCGGAGGCCCCTCCCGAGGCAACGCTGCCAATGCTGACCCCTCCAGCCCTGCGGCCGCCGATGCCATGAGTAACACCACAGTGCCCAGTGCCCCCCGGGCCAACAGCGACTCCATGGTGGGCTATGTGTTGGGGCCCTTCTTCCTCATCACCCTGGTCGGGGTGGTGGTGGCTGTGGTAAGGAGCCCCCCACTTACACCCAGACACCACACCTTGGCCAAGGCAGGGGTTGGGCAGGCCTGGTCAGTGCACGTGGCTGCCAGCTGTCCTGGAAGGGCGTGGGGGGCCCCACACGTGGGGCCGCCTCCACAGTGCTGTCTCTGTTCCAGGTCATGTATGTCCAGAAGAGAAAGCGGTGAGTGTCCCTGCCGCATGCGAGGGGAATGTGACGCCCCTCAGCGTTCACCTTACTTTGCCTTGCCCCGCCTCAACCAGGGAGAGGCCCTCCGTCCGCCCTTTCCCTGCCTGGGGCAGGGGAGGCCAGGCGGTCAGGTGCCTGACGCCCCCGCCCCGTCCCCCAGGGTGGACAGGCTGCGCCATCACCTGCTTCCCATGTACAGCTACGACCCGGCAGAGGAGCTGCACGAGGCTGAGCAGGAGCTTCTCTCGGACGTGGGAGACCCCAAGGTGAGCGCGGGCGCCAGGTGGACCTGTGGGGTTCCCCAGTGCGCACTGCTTACCCCAGGCCTGGCCCGGTACCCCCAGGTGGTGCATGGCTGGCAGAGTGGCTACCAGCACAAGCGGATGCCCTTGCTGGACGTCAAGACGTGATCCAGGCCTCTGGGCTTGACTGCCAGAGGATCCCTCAGCCGCTTCCCTCCCACTGCACCACCACCCTGCACCCGCAGCCTCCTTTCAAGGTGGGGGAGACAGCTCAGCTCCGCCCTCCCTTCTCCAGGGCTTTCAGCTGTTTCCATGGTGATGGTGCCCAGATGTATAGTATTCAGAATATAGTATTTTGTAAATAAAATGTTTTTTGTGTTTTAAGAGTGTGGGCGACTTCTGTAAGGGCTCGAGTCTCCGCTGACCTGCAGGGCCACTTTCTCCCATATCCTACCTAGGGGGCAGGGGCAGCAAACAGCGCGCAAGGCTCCAGTCCAGAAAAGGATATTTTTTTATTCAAGTAACTGCAAATAGGAAACCAGAGGGGGAGCCCCAGGCTGGGACACATAATGGCCACCCTCCCCAACAGAACAGGGGGAGCTGGTGGCCCCTATATCCGTCCTCGGTCGACACAGGCCCCTCCTCACTCTGCTGCAGCATCCTAGGGGCAGGGCCCCACCTTCCCTGGGACTGGGGTGCTCTGCACCCAGCCTGGGTGCCCCGGCCCCTGTCCCCGGGTCTTGGGGAGGGAATGGGGCAGAAAGGGCAGGCGATGAGGATGAACGTCTGGCGCTGGTGGCAGCAGCAATGACAAATGTCTAAGAATGAAACATGGAACAAAAACCAACACAACTGTCCAGAGGTAGTTTGTGAACAGAGGAAAGATGGAACCAGAACCTTGGGGGGGGAGCTCCGGGACCAGCACCCCATGGAGTCGACAGCCGCAGTGGAAGCAGGGGTGGGCGAGGGCCTGGCCGCTAGTGGCTGCCGCAGGGGCCCTGGGCCTCAGGGACAGGTGCTCTCTCTCATCTTGGGAGGGGCAGAGGGCAGGCCTCTGGCTCCTGCTCCCTTCCTGTACCCCAGGGGGGCATGAGCCCCCCCAGGTGACAGACTGTTTGGCGGGGGCATTGGGGAGGCCGAGCGCCTGTCCACTGGCTTCGCAGGCTGCTGCCAGCGCAGTGGGGTGCGGCCTGTCAATGAGATGAGTCTGGGGCTCCTTAAGGCCAGGGGAGGCCTCCCAGCGCCCCCAGGGGGAGCCG